GAGGGAGCTGATCCCATAAATACCTTGACAGGAGACAGACAGAAAAGCTAAAAAAAAGAAAAAAGCAAAATAAAACCAAAAACAGGCCCACATGCTAGAGAGTACCTGACTTACTGAAAGTCACAAAGGAGTGAATGGGGTGGGGGGAACCTTGAGGAGGGGAGGCGATCAGAGAGTTGCCTTGCAGGGCAGCCCATGGGGAGACTTCCTGCACTGCTATATGGTCTCTGGCTTTGACCCTGAGTGAAAGGGATGGCGTAGAGTAAAAGGACATGACCAGAGCAAATATTTTAACAGGATTGTTCTGGCTGCCATGCTGAGAATAGTCTGTGTGCAAGACTGGAGGAGGAGGTGAGAGTAAAAGCAAGACAAGTAAGTTACTTTAATTAGTAAAAGGGTAACAAGGTTTGTTCATGTGAGCTCTTTGGTCCTGCATTTCTTAACTCTAGCAATCAGGATATCTCTTGTAGCCCCCTGGACAATTTTTATAATTAAAGCATTTAATTATATTCCATTTTTATATTATCGATGATATACTGCTATTGTATATAGCAGGATTTGGTTGCATAAATATCATAAAATATTTATCAGAAGAATGCATTAAAGGCAATTCCTGATTACTTGGGTACTGAGCACATTCTTTATAGCCTAGTTCTGGGGAGGGTGTTTTAAATTCTGCACCAGCTGTTCTTGTGATCCCAAATATTTCCTATGCAATATGTACCACCAACCAAAAAATGCTCTTAATATCATCTTCAGGAAAACATCATTAGGATGTTTGGCTGGTAGGACACATAGACATTGCATCTCAAGGAATTTTCCAAAAGCGTCTAAATTTTGGAGAATTTTCCACATGCTTTGCTTTGCTTTGCTTTGCTGGCAAAGAGAATGACGAGAGCTGATTGTGGAAGTCGAATATCCCCAGTGCTCTGGGCCTTCCAGCACGTGGAGTCCAGTCAAGGGTGTGCTGCTCAGTGTTTAACGAGCAGCACTGGTGGGGAAGAGCCCTGACACGTAGTATTCTCTACCTTTTGTGGTGTAAATGTTCCCAGCTTTGCGCAATTTTATGCTACTGATGGGACCCACAAAATTCTTGAATGCTTAACAATCACTTGTGAGAGCCAGCTCCGGAACACCACAGGGTCCAATGAAAATGAACTGAGCTCCCATCCCATTTACTGTAAGAACGCCAGGCCCCACTTTGCCACCCCCAACCCTCCGCCAGATCTTCCTGGGAAGCCCCAGGTGCTTGCCGGCTCCTAGTAGGGCTGTCCGGCTTGCTTTTTCAGAGTTGTTCTGCTCCTCATGGCCTCCCGTGGCTGCTGGGGCTGCTACGAGTTCACAGCATTGTTCCTTCCTTGGGAGGGCTGCTGTTTCTCTCATCCTCACTTCCACTCCATCCACAAGGTTTACCCACTCCTCCTTGAAGACAGATTCTACATCACCGATAAAGCTGTTCTATTCGTCTCCCTCTACCCGACTCACCCAAGGCACCATTGTCTCTTTCCTGCAGTAGCCTCCTATCTGGCCTGCTCCTTCCCACACAGTGACCAGAGCCATCAAAAAAAAACAAAAAACAAATCAAAGCATAATGTTTCCATGTGCCAAGAACCCAAACAAGAGGAATTACTTCAACATAAGAGCAGACAAAAATCTTTTCCTATCAAGTTGTTCACATGTCAGCATTTAGTTACAAAACAGGTATCAAAGTACCTCATAGTAAAAGACAGCTTTTCAGTGGATACGTGTCCCTTGGTTTAATAAAGTCACTTCAGTGTGTAACCACCAATCTCAAGTGCTGGAGGCAGGGCTTGAGTCCAGACCTTTGGGACCAAAGAAGTTATGCTCGACTGTCCAGCAGGCCTTGGTGCTAGAGTGGTGGCCTGGGCAACAGGAGGAGTCAGAATCACCGACCTGCCCTAGCGCTGGCTGTCAGAGAGTCTGGATGGTTTTGGGGGATGAACCACAGGAAATGGGATGGGGGCAGGGGGCAGTTATAGTTCCAGGACAACCATGGCTGTTGCTGGGGAATCTGAATGCCTGTTTAGAGGTGGTAGTGATGAGAGGCTTCCAGAAACCCAAGCTCTAATCTGTGGGCAAAAGTGGGGTTCTCTCCCCAGCTCTGATGTCCCTTCATAGTTTCAACTAGGCCACAGAGGGTGGGGAGGGCTGACAGCCCCAGGCCCTGCAACCTGGGGACGGTGCTGGAGGAGCGACGAGGAGAGTGATAGTCCCCCATTGGCTGTGGGACTACGGGGCAGACTCTGGGAGGGGTTTTCTAGTCACAGGCTGTTACCAGCATCAGCATGAGGCCAATTTGGCCGTTTGTCATGTAACTCAGGAAACTTAATCAGCTGCTGCCTGCTCCCCTCCAAGCTGCCGCCCTGTCTGAAGTTTCCATTCGCACTTACTGTACGGCTGGCTACAGAATCACGGGCGTCATTTAAATATAATCTAACTTTCACAATAAGACTACAGGGCATTGAGCTGTGGTGTCTTTGTATTTCAATTTTATTATTATGGAAGAATGGGCTTATTGGTAATATCTTTTCCTGACAATAATTCATTAGATGCTGTCAACAGCAAAAATCTTAATGGACTCTAGCTATGTGAGCCATATGTGTTATTTCTTTCCTTCTCACCCTCAGGGCCATTTGGAATGAAGGATTCTCAGGAAATGGACAACATATTGTCAAGTTTGAAAGCATATGGGGCTGAACGGGATTCTATTGAAGGCTCATGGTTGTATAATCCAATATTTATAAGCAATTAAAGTTCACCAAAGTCTATAAAAACATGCCACAGCTGTGAATCAAATTAGTGCCTTGACCTACCCAATTACACAAAGAAAACATCAATATTATAATTAGGCAGCCAATTCCTTTCTTAGAATTAATGTAAATAGTGATTATGCTTTAAAATCAAACGAACACTGTATTTTCAAACTCGAAGCAAGAAGCCCGTGTGAAAAGATGCAAAATTTCGAGTAGGAGAGAGTTCCTTCATGTTTGATTAGTAAACTGATAAGGAAGTCGTCTTTTTTTTTTTTTAAGTAATTTCAGCGAAAAATTTCCTTTTGATTCCCATCAATCCCTCTTTTCTCTTGTGAGGACTGACTGCCCATAGATTTAAAGTCATTGCTTTGTCCGTTGAAGAGCAAAAAGAGTTTCAAGCCCCCTAGCAAGCCATTGCTGAATTATTCAGAAATTTCAACCCACACCCGAATGCAGGTGTAAGTCACAGCCAGTCATCTATCTGCCTGTTGAGGTCCTTCATCCTTGTCAGTGAGAGAAAGATGATTCAGGTCTAGGGCGGGAGCTTCTGTTGTGGCGGAACAAGGAAGGTTATACAAGCCCTGTACTCACTCCTGCCTCTCACTCCCCATTCTCACGATTTCCCCGCGGCTGTCCTCCCCTCACTGGTCCAAGTTTCCCATCACAGAAGCCATTCGCAAAGCATGGCCTTGCCCATAAATTTAAGAAACCTAGGTAGGAAAGTGTATTGTAAGAAAGAGTTCTGTAAATTGTAAGTTTTTCAGTTATTTTCAGGATATTTTGGGGATCTTCTGTAGATGGAAATGGGGCTTCCATCAAAATCTTTTGTTCTTTAAGTAGTCATTGAAAGATGCCTAGTTCTGTGATTTCTAAAAACAAATAAATTTTTGAAAAATGTATCACTATGGAAAGATAGTGGGCAACAGGACAGATGTTTTTGTGAGTTTCGATGACACTTATTCTATGTCCATGTATTCACACTAACTCTGCATGGGCCGTGAAATGAGTTGGTCTGATTACTTCACTCATCTCCTCCAGTCAGGTCCTTTATCAGTAGATTTGTAGGCTGTCTTACTAACAGCGATGGCATGCCCTCGACACCTTGATTATTTACCCTTGAGATTTAGGATGGCTTTTTGCTTTACTATTTTTTCCAGAGTATAACTGGTACTGTACAGACAGCTTGACACCTTTTTTTGGAAGATATTTGCACTGAAAGTGTAAAATATTCTATCAGCATCTTAGGTGAATCTGCACCAGAGAGGGGTCTAGAATACACCACATCTTGTAGATGTGGTGACTATCAAAGTAATTTGAAGATGATGCCAGAAATGGCTTCCTACATTCAAAATGCTGTCATTTATCGTTTTAAACTTGATGCATTTCTTTGACTACTCAGAAAGGACACAGGCAACTTGTTTGCTTCCTTGCTTTCCTTTTTATAAGGAACTTGTTGCAGGAGGTCTGAGTATTAAACTCTCACAACTTGCACTTTTTGTACTAAGTCACATGTTTCAATTCCTCATTCCTCAAGATATTGAGATAATTAGCTACAGCTTATGATTGTTTCTTGCCTCGGAACCAATTCTTATACTGAATAAAAATATGTACTTCTTATACTGATCAGACAGAGTAAGCAACCCATTCTATCATCACCTTCAAAGCCATTGCATTCCCGCCAATTGAATGGTTTTCTAAGTAGTTTGCATTTTCTGTTTGAAAGAGAACAACAAAACAATAACATTTTTTAAAAGATTTTATTTATTTATTTTTTGAGAGAGGGGAAGGGAGGGAGAGAAACATCAATGTGAGAGAGAAACATTGATCACTTGGCTTCACACACCGCCAAGTGGGGGACCTGGCCTGCAATCCAGGCACATGCCCAGACTTGGAATTGAACTGGTGACCTTTTGGTTTGCAGTTCATAGTTTAGTCCACTGAGCCACACCAGGCAGGGCAACAACAGCATTTTTTTCCTCTGAACTTCCCTGGTTGTTTATTGACCGTTGAATGACAGAATGAGTCTATTCTGTATTATACTTCAGTCATTGCTAGACACCATTCATTATACTTGACTTATAGTTTTCAGTTTAAATAAAGTTTTCAGACAATCATTAGGCATTAAATTGGGTGTTCTGTATAAGTCGAACTGTAGTACATTAGTGTTCGGGTAGGGTATTGCATTTCCCCCATGAATCTATTCTCCCTCCCTTCTTTTCGTAAGTCTGCACTAGGAAAGGCAAGTGGCAGCTGCAGGTATTTCACAGACCTGAGCTGTCAGTCTCTCCAGGTTGCTCACCCTGCAGCTGGAGATCCTGTGGCTACAACCAGCCACACATCTATAATATTTCATTCGGAGCGGAGTAGACATCCCCTTATCCCCAGGGCACTCACAGCTGAGTGAGGCAGCTGATGCTCTTCCCCTTGAAAATCTAATCTGTTTTATGACTCATGAACTTCCCTTAGTGGAGACATGTTACCTATTATCCATTTGTATACGGGTGTTCTTTCATTGTTTTCTGCTGCACTGCAAATTATTTTTTTTTCTGACTTATTTGATGTTAATTGCTTCAATCAACTCTTTAAAAGATACAGTTACATTTGTTTTCTTTCAGTCCCCTAGCAACTTTTCAGTTCTTCAAGACCTTACAAAAATAATTTAGGCTCCTGTGAATTCATTAACAAATTCCCTTCATAATTTAGGATTCTTGTCAGACCTGCCAATGTGTGCAGAGCAGAATCAAAATGAGCATTCCCTTAACCTGCTTACAAAACAAAAACAAGTAGGAAACTCCTATTCTTTTCATATAATTTCCCTTGAAATTGTTCATTGTTATTTTCTTTTAAAAACGAGAGCATTTTTTCTTATTCGTCTTAGACCATAATTGTTTGAGAATTTTCATCCATCAACAGGCTTGCAGTGTTTTAAGGGAAATCCGTGGACAGTGTTTGTCAAGCTCACATGTTTTCCTAAATTCACTGAACTGACATCAGTTTTCTAATTGTTAGTGGTGGTGAGTTTTACTGTGTGAGAACAGTTGGCACTCAAAAGTCCTGTTGAGGTCGCCCTGGCTTTCTATTTCTCCAGAAATGAGGTCCCTTGCCTAAGATTGCTGGTGGATCATTATACATGCTTATATTTTCAGGATACAACACAAATATTAATCATTTAAATGTTTAAACCTTTTCTACCCATGAATGTAAGTGGTCAATATCTAGTCTACTATATTTTAAAAAACATTTCTACCTTTTATTATATGTCATGGTAAATTTATTATTTACTTTCTATTTCTTCAGATGTCTTATTCACTGATACCCCATTTTTTTTATCTGATTTTGAAATCATTTCAATCTCACTAAAAATTGACAAGAACATTACAATGGGCTTTCTATTCTTTTTACCTAGATTCACTATTTGTTAACATTTTGCAATATTTACTTTATCATTTCCTAGTGCACGCTCTCTCTATCCCTCTTTCTCCCTCTCTCCCTCTGTGTGTGTGCGTAGGTACGCACATAATTGTATACTTGTATGTATCTTGGTGACAGAGATACTTAAATATAGGTTTGTTTTCATGAACTATTTGAGAGTGGGCTTGCAAGCGTCATGTGCCTTTACCCCCGAAATCCTCAGCGGGCATACGTTTTGTCGGACTAAGGATTTTCCCTTACATAACCACAGGACGATGACCAAACTTAAATTTAACATGGATCCTACATCATGATGTAACCTAGAAGACATTTTCAAATGTTACAGTTTCACTGGCTGTCTTACTAATGTTCGTTCTTCGTTTTTCTCCCAGTCCAGGGTCCAGTCCAGGAACCACGCTGCACTCAGTTGCCACCCCTTCACTGGAACAGCACTTTCCTTAGCCTTTGTCTAAAGTGACACTAATTTTTTAAATGTTTTTTTTTTTTGATTGAGAAGATTTAAGTTCTACTCTCCTAAGAAATTTCAAGTATGTCATACAGTGTTATGATTATAGTGACCATGTTATACATTAGGTACTCAGACCTGAATCATCTTAACAGCTAGATGTTTTGTACCGTTTTGCAAACCTGTCTCTTTCTCCCCCCCCCCCCCCCCCCCCCCCCAGCCCCTGGCAAGCATGAATTTGTTTTGTTTCTAAGTGTTCACTGGATTTCACATGTAAATGAGACTACACAGTGTTTCTTTTTCTGTCTGGATTATTTCACTTAGCATAAGACCCTCAAGGTTCATCCACGTTGTTACAAGCAGTAGAATTGTCCTAGGCTGAGTAAATTCCATTGTATATATGTACCAATCTTCTTTATCCACTCAACCATTGACAGACACTTGGGTCGTTTTCCAACCTGGGCTATTGTCAGTAATGCTGCAATGAACATATGAGTGCAGATATCTCTTTGATTTGGTGTTTTAATATTTTTGGATTTATACCCGGATATGGGATTGCTGGATCCTATAGTACTTCTATTTTTAATTTTTGAGGAACCTTCATACTGTTTTCCAGAGTGGCTGCACCAGTTTATATTCTCACCAACAGTGCACAAGAATTCCCTTTTCTCTACATAAAATGACATGAACATTTTTGAAGAATAGTGGTTAGTTACTCCGTAGAATGTCCCTCAGTTTGAATTAGTTTGAGATTTCCCTCTGATTAGATTTAGGTTTTGCATTTTGGAGGAGGACTATCATCAAAGAGAAATTATGTCTTAGGACACATAACTTCTCATATCAAGATCTCTTTGTAATTTGTACTACTTTGTGATATATGACTAATTTATGGGGAGATATTTGAGATTATATAAATATCCTGTTCCTCATGAAACTTTCATCATCTAAGCATCCATGGATGATTCTTGCTTAAATTAATTATTGATTGATTAATTAATTATTAATCAATTGTTTGAACCATGATTTTCTATATCCTTTATTGCTCCCACATTATAATGTGAAGAAGAGCTTTCCTTTCTCCCTCATTCATTTATTCATTCATTTAATTATATCAGCATGTATTCTTGAATTCTTTTTTTAAAAGATTCTATTTATTTTTTAGAGAGAAGGGAAGGGAGGGAGAAACAGAGGGAGAGAAATAGCAATGTGTGGTTGCCTCACAGGTGGCCCCCACTGGACACTGGCCCACAATCCAGGCATGTGCCCTGACTGGGAATCGAACGGGCGACCCTTTGGTTCACAGGTCCATGCTCAATCCAGTGAGCTACACCAGCCAGAGTGGATTCTTATTTAATTATTCCAGTTATATGTTATTATGCTTATTATTTAAATCGAGGCACAAATTGTCTCAAATTTGGTCAGTGGGGGCTCCTTTGGGACTTTGTTTTTATACTCTCATTTTCTTTTGCTCCATACATAGATCCATATGAGTTTTATTTGTTTCTATGTACTATGTAGTTCATGTACTATCTGAATCACAAAAGTTTCATTTTAATGAAATCCTCAGATAGTAACATTAGGTAAAAGTGTAACTTTCAGAAAGTTAAAAATATGACTCCTACACAGCCATAGTGAGTGTTAATTATTTTACTCTTTAGTGAAGGGACCAAAAACATGATAAATCTAATTAAAGGGGAATTTGAGAGCCTGAGTACTTACAGACAATAAAACATGGAATGCTGAAATAAGATTGCACAGCCAGATATCAAACTGGTTAATAATGCAGCGTAGCAATAAAATCGTGTTTGTGCTTTCTTTTCTACAAACAGAAATCTGCAAATTAACATCTCATTTCACAGAGACCAGGCACATATGAACATTGCATGCTACTCTTCTACTTTAATAGAAAGTCAAAAATTTTCATTGGTATCTTTTGTGGACCTTCTTAAATCTCTCTTACTGCAGGGTAAGCCCATTTTACCTGGGAAGTTAGAACTTGTCCGCTGCAATAATCCCACCGGAATGGGAAGACTCAGTGGACTCTTGGCCTCCTCCTCTTTAAAATAATTAATTGTTTACATGTTTTCTGTTTCTGTTTTTTTTTTATCTTTGAGTGTTTTTTTCTTTTTCTGGACATGAAAATCTTTTTCACAGTTCTTCAAACTGTGGAATGCCAAACAGGAGACTGTATTCCTCTGGGTCCAACAAATACCAGGCACACATGGTATCTGTGTTATTTCAACATACCTGCAGCTGCAAATGCTATATGGGGTAGCACCCTAGACTTATTATTTTTTGACCCATAAATTAAAACATAAGATATCATAAATTGCCAGATTTTCTACTTATTTTTATAAATATGTTTATATTGCTTACTCTTTACACATTCATTTATTCATTAAAAATATATTTATTGTTGTAAAAAATACATACATTAAATTGACTATCTTAACCTGTTCTAAGTGTATAGTACTCAACTGTATACTTAAAACAGTACTTAAACTGTTCCCATTCTTTTTTTTTTTAAGATTTTATTTATTCATTTAGAGAGAGTGGAAGGGAGGGAGAAAGAGAGGATGAGAAACATCAATGTGTGGTTGCCTCTCATGTGTCCCCCACTGGGGACCTGGCCTGCAACCCAGGCATGCACCCTGACTGGGAATCAAACTGGCAACCCTTTGGTTTGCAGCCCGAGCTCAGTCCACTGAGCTATACCAGTCAGGGCATGTTCCCATTCTTGAGTAACCGTCTCCAAAATTTTTTTATCCTGTGACACTGAGGCTCTCTACTCATTACAAAATGATTCCCTGTTTCTCCAAACTTGTTCTGGCAACCACCATTCTATTTTCTGATTCTGTAGGTTTGATTATTCTAGGTAATTCATATTAGTGGAATTACACAATATTTGCCTTTTGGGAACTGGCTCATTTTACTTAGCATGATGTCCTGAAGGTTCATCCATGTCTTAACATATGTCAGAATATTTAAGGCTGAATGGTATTCACTATGTGAATATACCACAATTTGTTTATTCATTCGTCAGTGGCTACTTGGGTTGCTTGTACCTTAGCCATTGTGGATAATGCTGTTGTGAACATGGTTGTGCAAATACCTCTTCAGGATTTTGCTTTCAGTTCTTTTGGATATATACCTAAAAGTGTAATTGCTGGACTGTATTTTTAATTTCTTGAGGAACCTCCATCCTGTTTCTCACAGTAGCTGCACTGTTTTACATTCCAACTGACAATCACAAAGGTTCCATGGAATTTCTCTACATCCTGGCCAGTCCTTGTTTTCCGTTTTTGTGGTAGTAGCCATCCCAGTGGTGGCTACTATGAGACAATGTCTTGCTGTGGTTTGCACTGGCACTTCCCTAATGATTTGTGATGCTGAGCCTCTTTTCATGTGTTCGTTGGTCATATGTGTATCATCTTTGGTCACTCATTTAAGTTCCAGTTTGTGTCCTGAGTGCTAGA